CTAGCTGCTGTAAGGCTAATAACAGATAATAAGATAAGGCTATCAATGGCTACTAGGCACAATGACTTTGTTCCACTGCCACTGTTCAGTAAGCCTCTGAATATTAGTTGCTGGGAATCACAAGTGCTCAGGTCACAAGTGGACTTCCTACAGATATCTGGTTGGCCACTGTGAGAACAGCATGCCTGACTGATCCAGCAGGGCTTTCCTTAATGTTCTTATGAGTTAAGCCAGCCCTTAACTGTTAAGGACTCAAATCAGTTTAGACTTCAAAAACGTGAGGTTGAAATGGAAGAAGAAGAAGAGTTTGGATTTGATATCCCACTTTATCACTACCGTAAGGAATCTCAAAGCGGCTAACAATTTCCTTTCCCTTCCTCCCCCACAACAAACACTCTGTGAGGTGAGTGAGGCTGAGAGACTTCAGAGAAGTGTGACTAGCCCAAGGTCAGCCAGCAGCTACATGTGGAGGAGCAGAGACACAAACCCAGTTCGCCAGATTATAGGACTACCGCTCTTAACCACTGCACCACACTGGTTCTTGACTGGACTGAGAGTTGCTCAGATTAGTTATGACATCAGTCTTTCCTTTCACAACTGAGTGGTGCCCCATGTAAAAAAATTTCTTTTAAATTTGGTTCCTATAAAGGTTAGTTGGAAAGTTAATTTTAAGAGGGAATCTATCTTGAGTTATGCCACCTGGACAGGATAGGACCAATGTTAAACACTCTCTCACACACACTTGGAGCACAACATGACATTGGTTGTGGGGGAGGAAATAGTGGAAAAAACTATTGGTGCAGTAGTGGTAACCTTGTATTTGGGGTGAGACTATCACTGGCAGAACACCAGCAGTGCAAAATTTGAAGAATGGAAGGGAAATGTGAAAAATCCTACGCCCACTCCTGTCTCTTGCAATGGGATAACCTTTTGTTTACAATCAAGATGATGAAAGTTTTCACGTTCCATTGAAATTAATGGGAGTAGTCCCAGCCTTAACAGCACCTTTCTTCACTTCCACAGCTACAAGGATTTTGATTAACCCTGCACTTGATCAGACCATCCTCATGCAAGGCATTCTGCTGGTGTAATGCCAAGAAAATATGCAATGGGAAATCCACATGTTTCTATTAGAGAAATTCTGTCTTCTGAAATGGAGATTCCGTCTTCTGTGACTCTCTCATAAGTTGTTCCTGGAGGTTGATTCTGAGCCAATCATTAATGTTGCATAGATACAGCCCTGTCTCAACATGCCACCAGAAGAGGTACTTCTGGGAAATCCCAAAATTGATTGCAGTATGCTATTCTGAGGAATTTCCAGGTTAGAAGAACTGTGGTGAACTCTACTATTTGGTTTTTAAAGGATGACTAGGATTGGGTTGCCCACATTGTGTTTCCAAAGTCTGAGAATCCCATCAAGTTATCATATATAACTAAGACAGTGAGCTATGAATCAATGAGTCTTTGTTTGAGTCTTCTTTTACTGTTAACTCACTAGGTGCCCTTAGTCAGGGTAATCAACATGGTTCCCTCCAGATGTTGATGGACTCCAACTCTCATCAGCTCCAGCTAGCATGTCCGATGTTAAGAGATGATAGAGCTGTAGTCCAGCAACATCTGGAAGACCACAGACTTTCCACCTGTGCCTTAGGCATATCACTCTCTCTTTATCAACTTGTTTTTCTCTCCACAACCAGTATCCTCTTCAATATGGGGGATAATAATACTGATTTAATATAAAGGTTGAAAGAATTGCAACTAGATAATGCATGCACAGTGTTTTGAATGCTTGAATGCAATATACCAGTGTTAAGTATTATTATTAATGGCATTGAGTTTAATAGTTCAGATATGATCTAGTTAAATCCTGAAAAATGAATCTCCAAGTAAAAAACATCTAACTTGTTCAATGGTCCAGTAATCAGTCTTCCACAAGTAATTCCTTGATGTACCAAAGACAACAAATAACCTTGGTCTTACTATAATGTATAGATAACTGATCTTTCCTGCAATAATTTCCCAAAGCTGTCAGATAGTGTCTCGTCAAAATTGCCTGGGAAAATGAAAGTTGAATTCATGTCATCCCTAAGGAATATATCTTGTAAGTATATAGAAACAAACAGTTACTATTCAGAGAGAACATTGTTGCAGCTCAGTGGTAGAGAACATGCTTTGGGGTGGGGTGATGGGGGGCAGAAAATTTGTCCAAAATGGTACATTATTCACAAGACATTTTCTGCATCATAGGTTCATTAGTACCAACAAATGGCTGCAAACTGCAATTACAATATTAGTCAAGCTTTGAAGTTTCAGTATTTTTAGCTGTTACTAAATTGATAGAGCATTGGATCCCACCCCTTGCAAACTCCCCCCCCCCATGCACAATATGTTCTTCATGCAGAGGATCCAAGGCTCAATCCCAAGCTACTCCAGGCAGGGCTGGGAAAGACTTCTGCCTGAAACCTTTGAGATGGTGCCAGTGTCAACAGTGCTGTGCTGGATGCACCAATGGCTTGATACGATACGATATCTTTATTGTCATTGTCCCATACAGAACAATGAAACTGAAAATCTACATAAGACATTCAAAACCCCCTGAAAACTCTGAACCCCCTTTTTAAAATACAATATATAGAGACTCCTTATGTTGCGTTTAGAACCAGAATTGCATTTACGTAGACGTAGAAACTGTTTCTCAGGCGGCTAGTCCTGGTCTTTATAAACCTGTGCTTTCTTCCAGAAGGCAGAAGCTGAAAGAGATCATACTTGAGCAAGTATGGCAGCTCCCTATGTTTCTGTGAAGTTCAGATGTTATTATTATCATTCTTGTAATTCAATCTTTATTGGTTTAAAATCAACATAGACACACAAGGAAAACTTAGAAAAAGAAAAAAGGAAGGAAACAGAACAAAAAAACCACAGTACATCTCTTGCAAGGGAAAAAAAATAGAACAGTACATCACGAATATAGAATTTAAAAAAAATATTTTTGTGTAGTTCAGAGTTTTATGGGTGGGAATGCCATCTTCCCCAGGCAAGGGAAATTATTTTATTCTGTGAACCGCTCTGAGACCTCCGGGTATAGGTCGGTATATAAATTTAATAAAACAAATACCGTACTTTTCTGTGTATGTTTTTTGACCAGAAAATTAGGTTTAAAATTGGGGCTCGTCTTATACACTGGTAGTGCTGAGGGGTGTTTTTTTAATTTGGAGTCCCCAAAAATAGGGGGTGTCTTATACATGGGGGCGTCTTAGACAGAGAAAAATATGGTAAATAAAAATTAAGGGTTTAAACACCTCTTTATCTATTATAAGTAGTGCAGTCCTAATCATGTCAGCTCAGAAGGAAGTTGTATTGAATTCAATAGGTCTTACCCTCAGGTAATTGGGATTTGGATTACAACTTGAATCCTTTATAATGTCCTGGTTATCAGTGGCACTAGCTGAAGAGTTTAAAGCTTAGAAACCATTTTCTCAGGCCAAATTAGAAGTGTTTGCCACGAGTCAATTCTTGTTATCACAGTTGTGATCAACTAGCTTCCAAGATGCTTAAGCGTCATTTCATCTAGCTGGGTGCTTGACTTCTTCACAAAATTGTTTCTGAAAAGGCATTTCTTAATTTTCGCTACCATCTCATATCCTTACTTCCTAGCTCTCAAATTCTTCAGCAGAGTCTCTGAGTTAGATCATTTAAGCCCCCTAGCTGATTGTTCCATTGCTTTTTCGAGCTCATTCTATTAAAATCAATACAAATTGTTTGGCACCTTTTCCAAATCCCCCAAGAGCAGTGTGATTAAGTTTTGATGTTGGTGCTCACCTGCTTCTATCACTCATTCTGGATCATACCACATTGATTTTTGGGTGGGTGTAACATACAGTAATTGTTAATAATAATAAAAATAAACTTTTATAATAATAAAGCTGCTTTTATTAACATTTTTTGAAGTGGGAAGAGATGGATCAGAACTGCCCACATTAAAAAAAAATCAGAGAATGCTCTCCTGGAATGGTTCAAAATGTGGTTTTATAAGAGGTGCACATTTATTTTTGGATTTTCTGAGCACTAGGTAATTTTGGGTGTACAGAGGGGGAAAGTGTGAGGTAGAAGTTGTATACAGTGGGACACAGGGGAATTAATTGGCACACAAGGGGTAGACAATCCACAATTAACTGAGGTGTGAACAGGTCCTAAGTGGACCCATAGGATCATCCTGTTTGAGGGTTAAGTAGTTGAGGGAGAGAATGGAAGGACATGTTTCTGTTCAGATTTACAACCTGGAGGAGAGACTCCTCAGTGGGGTCATATGGAGTCTATATCTAGGCATATCCTCTAGCCTCCAGGGGCAAAGTCGACAGATTCCTCTCCCGTGCAAAGATGCTCTGCAAAGACGTGGGTGGATGGAAATTGCCCTTCTATCATCGCTTCATCATCTTAACACAAAATGCGTTAAAATATGCTAAGTGGAGGAACTAATCTGCTTTAAGTGGTTTTAGATCTGCAACTCTGAATCATTGGCTGAATTAGATAATATACTGGTAATTGTTCACACAAGACATGCCTCTTGGAAGCTTCTCCTGAAGCCTCTCTAGTGCCTGTTATGGGGTCACAAATCCTTTTCTCTTGGGATCCTGGATACCCAGGGTTGGCATTACTGCCCGCTCCCCAACCTGGACAGGAGGCGGTTTTGTTTTGTTTTTGTTGTTGTTGCGGGGTATGGATTATGTGCACTCTGCACGTGCCCAGAGGGCTGCCTTCTTATTTTTGTTCTCAATTACTTCACACCTTTCCGGGCCGAATCTTGGCCCTCAAGACCGGTTCCGGTGTTCCTTTTTAAAAATTCCAATTATTTTTGAACCCAGCCCCTGCCCCCAACCCCGCAAGCCCCCTCCTTTCCCCTGGCCTGGCTGGCTGGCTGAGGGTTTCAGGGTGCCCGTGCTGGGCTTGGGAAGCCGTGCTGAGGGAGCCCGCTAGATGGCGGCGCAGAGAGCCTCGCGCGGGTTTCCTCGCTCGCTTCCCAGCTGCGGCTTCTCGCCTCGGTGGCGGCGGCCGCTCATTCGGCACCGGCTCGGACCGCGAGCGGGAAGGCGAATCCGGGCCGGGGGTGTCTGGCGGGCGCGCGAGCGAGCGAGCCGTGTGGGACCCGCGGGCAGCGGCCGGAGCGCAGGTGAGAGACAGAGGGGGGCGGCTGCGCGTGGAGGGGGAGACGAGGCCGTGTGATATCTATACGTGTGTGACAGAGTGCGCGTGAGAATGGGCGTCTAATTGGGGGGCACTCTAGAGTAGGAGGCGGTGGACAAAGAGGGCTCCTCGGAATATGCGGCTGCGGGAGGCTTGGAGGGCTACGGTCGTCTGAAGGCTGAGGGAGCATTGCTGCCTGCAAGCGCAGGAGGGGTGTGTGTGTAAGAGAGCGATCTTGGGCTTACGGCGAGGCGGAATATAATGTGTAGTGGGGGGGGGCTCTGCGCTGGTCACGTATCTGGACCAGGCTTTGGGGTACGTGGGGGGGGCGTTATGAGGAGTTAGGATATGGCGGGCAATTGGGGCATCGTGAGAGAAAAGGGGCTGGGGCATTCTGGAGGTCAGGGCATGGGGGGGGGGATAGGGACGTGGAGGGGAGCAGGCTGAGGTGTGGGGAGCGGACGAGAGGATCTGGGCCAGGCTGGGGCGGTGGGAGCTGCTGCTGGAGATGGAAGCTGCGAGGTGTGCCTCGAGGGCAATCTGCAAGAGGTGGGCTCCGTGCTGCGGGCTTGCAACATCGGCTGGGGCTTTAGGGAGGCGGGATTGTTTAGTTGTGGAAGCATCTGGTAAGGAAATCGGGAGCGGGCATTGTAGAATACGGAGGCTGGGCTAGAGGGGTAAGGTAAGTGGCCCACCGTGGTGGAGCAATCCGTGGGGCAGGATGTGGGATGCTTTAGCGCCCACCCAGGGGCTCATCTGGGTCAGGTCAGGCATTGGAAATGGTGCAGGGTAGGCTGAAGAAGTCTTGGGGGGGGGGTCTGCAGCCATTCTCTTCTAGACTCTGGGACTTAATGGACTTACACTCCTCCTCACCTTAAGATGTGATTGTGGCAAGTCAACCCTGCTGCATTTCTGGCCCTCATTTGCTGAGTGGGGCACCAAACAACTGCCTCAAAGTCCTGCCCTGAGAGCGCAACTCTTTGTGTGTGTGGAGATGGGGGGGGCAGGGCAAGAACAACATTATGCAATCTCTGGGGCCATGATTTTGTGTAGTAGGGGTGGGATTTAAAGGCACAACTATGGAATAGTAGGTAGGAATACTAGACTGAGAAGGCTGTTCTGGAGTGGAGCAGGTTGCTGAGTTGCCATTTTGATGGAGGTTCCTGACTACTGGATATATGGGAGGAGTGGGCTGTGGAAGAGGCCGATTAAGCCTCGATTAAGGGCTGGGGAATATATGGTGGGAAGTGGAGTGTGCATAGCAATGGGCAGAGGGATCAGCTGACTCAAATGTCAAATATAAGGAGCAGCGTGGGGTGTCTGATGTGAAGTGGTCTTGCAAAATCAATGATGTCCCTAATGGTGTGCAGCTGTCACCCTGTGGAATAAGTCACAGTCTTGTGTCCCACTGAAATACAAGGGATCTGGAAGCCTGACCAACTTGTTCAGGTGATAGAAGGTATGTCAGCCAAAGGGACTGTGTGTCAATAAATAGGATGTGTACATATGGCTATGAGGGCCACTTGATAAATGTAATTTCCCCTATAAAGCTGAACATGTGTAAAAAATCATGTGTGTAATTTAAGTGGGAAGCTGCAGTGGATTCCCAGTGAAAGCAAACTAGTGTGTAATTGTCACATTTCTCTTTCCGCCACACTGGTATAATGTAATAAGGAAAACACTGAACTGGCTCTGAGGTACCTTAAGAGTGGAGCAAGTTGTTTTGTATGTGCAAGATATCTTATGAAGACTCTGATATTGAAGTCACCAGCTTCTCAGTTAGTGACATGGCCCTAAACGTTTCCAATGAAGTTCACAGACTCAAACTGTCCTTCTCACTATCTCAGTTGGTCGAGCATGAGACTCAATCTCAAGGTTGTGGGTTTGAGCCGCACATTGGCAAAAGATTCCTGCATTGCAGGGAGTTGGACTAGATTACCCTCATGGTCACTTCCAACTCTACAATTCTATGATTTCTATGAAATCTTCTTCAGCACCATCTTAGGCATGTCTGCTCAGTAGTGAGTTCTATTAAATTCAATGGGACTTACTCCCAGGTTAAATGTGTTTAAGGTGGATCAAGTTTTATTTTGAATGGCAGCTAGAAGTCTGTGTCTTTCTCTGTATTTATAGCCTTTGACCTGCTGGGTTCCAGGAGGTTTTTGTCAGTTCAAATGGCTTGGTGAGCTAGACTTAGCCTGTCCTTCAATTGGGTCTTCAAAGTAATTTTTTTGTCTTAGCTCAGAAGGTTCTGTATGTCATTGCTGCTTTTGAGGAGGGGGTAGTGAACTAGACATTCAGAGTGCTGCAGTCCTTTCATCAACACCAGCATAATACTTGCAAAGTAGCTGAGGAGGAAGGAAAAGTGTAGATTTCTCTGAAAGATTGAGAGATAATAATACTTAATGAAGCTACTCTATTATGGCCAACAGTATGAAGGGCTGCTACATGTGTGTTGATTCCCTTGTTCCTCAACCTGTTCCTATTTCTAATGTAAGGTCTCAAGAACTGATGTATTAAATTAGGATTTGAACTTTATGCTGATTTCCCCCCTTTTTTTTTTTTACCCAAATGCATTGTTAAATAGATCCTACATTTTGCCAAGTTCACTGCAGGTTCTGGCCTGTGTAGATTTTTTAAAATGCCGTACAGTATATCTCTTTTCTTTTTAATTTCTTTAGTCTGCGGAGGGGTGAAAGCACCCCTTTTCGTTGCAGAATCTGTTTGTCTTAACAGCTTGCAAAATGCACAACGAGTCCCTTGTGCTGCACTATTTAATTTTTATATTATTTCTTCTTACAAATCCACCTGAATGTTCCCTTTTGGAAATGTAATGGGTTCTAGTAGTAGTGTGATTTATTTAGTGGCTTTTGGCTGGCTGGCTGTAGTAAGAAGAAACCACCAGAAGCACTCAAAATAATTGATGCCCATCTACTCTGGGCTATGGAAGTGAAAAGCTGTGTTACTCACAGGGCTTTCTTTGGGAACCAGGCACTGCAAGTCTGTCTTAGCATCTCAGCAAGTAAGACTTCTGGCAGCTGCAGGAATGGCTTTAATGCAGTCTTTAAAATCCTGCTTCTAAGAGATCTGCCTGAAAATGGACAGTTCTGTGTGATGACTGATGAATTTATAGTAGCAAGGCATGGTTTGGCTTTGTCCTGTTGGGATAAAAGGTGCCATTTTGAAAAGGTGACTTCAGATTGATAGTTGCAAAGAATAAAAGATTGACAATCCTGGCACTGCGGTACTTGCTTTGCAATTGGAGCCATGCCATATAGGTCACATCCTTTGACAAGGGAATCCTTGCAACAACTATGGAAAGCAGGATTGGGGGACCTCAGGCCCAGGGGCCAAATGCAGCCCTCTAGGTTTCTCTATCGGGCCTCTGGGACTCCTCCCAGTCCCCAGGTCTCTTCTGAACTACCCCACTCTTTGCAACCTCCTTGTGGGTTTTTGCCTGGCTAGAAGGTGTAATGAACTGATTATGCTTTTTGCTAATGGAGGTTAGAGAGAGAAGTGAGTGTGAAGAAATTAGCTTACTATACAAAGGTAAAACTGCTCTGTCAACCTCTAACTCAGGCACCACCTATTTCTGGTACATGGCCCCCAAAAGGCCAGCCAGAAGGGACTGTGGCCCTAAGACTGAAAAAGGGGCCACATCCAAGCTGTAAAGTAAGCCAGTGTTGTTCTTTCCCTCTATTACTGAAAAGGAGAGGCTGAAACTGAGAGACAATGGCTTACTTCCTGGGGAATGAGTGGCTATTTGAACCAGTGGACTACCAGCCATGCCCCTAACACATCTGTATCAACAGATTTGGAAGAGCCATCTTGCCCATTTGGGGAAATGCTAATCATAGAATTGTAGAGTTGGAAGGGACCCCAAGAGTAATCTAGTCCAACTCCCTGCATTACGGAAATCTCAGTTAAAGCATCCATGACAGATGGCCACCCAACCGCTGCTTAGAAACCTCCATTGAAGGAGGAGAGTCCACAAGCTCCCGAGGGAGTCTGTTCCACTGTCAAACGGCTGTTACCATCAGAAAGTTCTTCCCAATGTTTACTCAGAATCTCCTTTCCTGTAACTTGAAGATAATGGTCTGGGTCCTATCCTCCAGAGCAGGAGAAAACAAGCATCTTCCATGTGACAGCCCTTTAGATATTTGAAGATGGCTATCATATCTCCTCTCAAGTGTCCTCTTTTCCAGGGTAAACATACCCAACTCCCTCAACCTCAATAATATCCTCTTATTATTTGGCTACACTGATACTGGGAAAAAGCACTGCACAGTTGGCTCCCTCTAATATCACTGACCAACTTTTTCACCCAAACAACAGAATAAGAGAGAAGCTGTAGGAGAACCAATGAGTGGATAATTTTCATTGGTAAAGTATTAGCTGGGTGGGAGTGAGGGAAAAATTTTCACAGGTAAATTGGACTGGTGGGGGGGGGCAACAGCTGCTTTTCTCAAATACATGGTCCCAGCTGAGATGGGGCCCCCCCATGGCTGCTTTTGGCTAAAATACAGATAGGTGAACCAAAGATGGATCTCTTTTATCTTGTCTAGTTTGGCCCTGAGGCTCTTTTTATAACTGCACAGTACTTTATTGTTTACTCAGTCACACTAAGTTCAATGAGACTTATAAGTGTACATAGTATTGCAGTCTGAAAAGCCCTGTGTCAGACTAGAAGGTTTCTTTTTGAAGAAGGTCAGTAGCACCTAAAGGATTTCAACACATAATAGAGGTTTACCCAACCTGTGTTTAGAAACCTCTAATGAGATGGATAAATCAGTCTGCATCCAATTTGTGCAATTGCCCACCAATTATTTTGTTTCTTTATTATATTTAACCTACATCTATCTTCCTGTAATTTAAGCCCATTAATTCTGGTTACCTGCAGTTGCTGTGGAGACCAACTGGTTTTCAAGGTGTTTAAAGCACCTATTTTTATCTTAAACTGCTGTTCTATTGCTTTGCCCTTCCTCT